AAAAATTAAGTACATACCTAAATAAAGGTTAATAGGCGCGAACAATACTGCGTAAGGAGATGTCTCAAACGTGATTATTAAAAAATGCTATAGAAAACTATTAAATACAATTTTTCAACACAAGCGTGTCACAAAAGGGTGTACAAAATTTATTGTGGGAAATACAAGAAAATCAAACGTGGTAAAAAATTTGTGAAACTTAGCAATTAAAAAACAATGTTAAAATGGCAAAGCACCGTTCAATTTTAAAGATACATGACAACCTTTACCTCTAATTTAGTTAAATTTGATGTAATTAATGATTCAAGGTTATTTGGATTTAGTTTCAATAAAATAGGTTGAATTATGTTAGCTTTTTTAAGATATAAAAATTTTGTAAACATTTAGAATATGTCTTATTTACTACAGCACAGTATTTGTTTGTAGTTACATCTTCTGTTATCTCCGAGCACGCCCTATGTCAGATAGATAAAGCAGAAAGGAATATACGATTTTTTGTATTCCACTATAAAAAAGCGTCTTTCGAACTTTCTGATATCTGAATGTATTTACAAAGTTTCAAAACTTTTTAGAGACCGACGATGCTTCGAATTTAAATGATATTTTTTTGCTAAAATGTTATTCATCGTCTTCTTTTATACTATTCTGAACATTGCGTAATTTGATTGGAAGAATAAATGTTGAAGGTTAAAATAAAGTTCAACTTGCAGCATTTTACGTACCCGAAAGTCTCTTTGCAAACCTCGTAAAACATGTGTTGCTCTCGAGTAAAAAATGCCATCAATATTCAAAGCTTGCAGATACGTTTTTCTTCGTTGCGCAACGAGTCGATTTCCATTTTAAATTAATTTAATTCGGAAAAGTTTTCAGGGAAAACAGTTGTTGCATTTTTGTAATTGCTTTTTGGTTATACAAAAATGAGGTCGATTTACTAACGAAAACAATTTTAAAATATTTGTTTTCGGCGAACGAATTTTTTTTTAATATCTTAAACGTTAAAAAATGTGGACTGTGATTAATTTAATAGGACGTTGCGTTACAATAACTTTTTAAACAATAGAAAACAGTGTCCCCTAATTATTTGTAAAGGTAGAAGAAGGTGAATTTTGTTATTATATGTTGTTTGACATATTTTAAGGTCAATACCCCTTAAATTATTTTGCTTAAGGTTTGATTCATCATAGTCCAAATTTGTTACAGATATTGGAGGGATTTTGGGCTGTCCAGAATTAGTGTTCCAACAAATGTCGAACCCAAAACTATACAAAAATACAGTGTCCCAACACAAATAGGACTAATCATAAACTAGTTTCATTACTATCAAATCAGTTCCTGAATCTGAACTTCGATCATATAAACACTAGATATCTAACACTATACCCCGTACTTCAAACAAAACTAGGAGTGATCCAAAGAGGTTAGAAAGGGTAGAGGTAACATAGGAAGCATTTGTCGCTGCGCGAATTTTGCCAAAACCGAAAAACTGGGTGGAAGGAGTAGGGAGATGTTCTGGGCCGGACTTAAATATTTGTATTGTAGTACCTAATTTTGGTGGGTAACTAAAAGATGAAAAATTATGAGACGTTTTTTTGACTTTATTTGTTAGCACGATTCATGTATGATGAGGGCAATAACACTTTATCAATATATAACTAGCTAAAGGCCGATTCCACCGTTGTGTCAAACAAAGTTTAAATTATTAAACGAAGATTAAAATGACATTGTTAATGTAAAAATGTCATTTTAAACTTCATTTAGTAATTTAAACTTCGTTTTTGTTAATAAAAAAATGTCAATCTTCGTTTCTCAAAAAGGAGAAATGGACCATAAGTAAAAGTTTATAAAATTATTGCAACAAAATAGCTGTTGAGACAGAAAGTACTTTTTCTCAAATTACACACAAGATTTTTTCTACGATCACAGCTAAATAAAATAATTAATAAAATTTTATTAGAAATGGGTTACCTTTTCGTTCGTTATAATATTTTGTTTATTTGACGTAAGCCTACTCTTCAAAGAGAAAAAAATAAAAAAAAAATTCACCATCATTCTTCTGTAGGTACTTCCAATCAAATATTTTAGAAAATTGTTGTATTTGATTGCCCTACGACGTTTTTTTTTTTTTTTTCGATAGTAATAATAAAAATAAGGGACATGTGCAGTATTGCCGGTCTAATTTTTGACATTATCCGCGAGAAATTTGAAAAAAAAAACATTTTTAGTCATTATCCTTAAAGGAGTACGTCAAAATTTTACCCCCAACATTTCTGGGCAGTTTTCAATAACGGTGTTATTTTAAATATAAAACGCAATTTACAGCTTTTCTTTTTTTGTTTTCTTTTTTGTTGTTAAACGTGATATTTTCAAATATGAAATGTCACTATTCATTGCCTTTTTTTCGATATATGGTTTTTTCGATTTTTCGTTTTTTGGATTTTTCGATGTTTTATTTTTCGATTTTTCGATTTTTCGATTTTTCGATTTTTCGATTTTTCGATTACTCGATTTCTCGACTTCTCGACTTCTCGATTTCTTGATTTCTCGATTTCTCGATTTCACGATTTTTCAACTTAAAAACCAAAGAAGAGGCAGTTTTATTTATTTTCATTTCGTAACTGGTGACATAATCAACTTTTCGTAATCAGTTGCATAATGTTCTACTTTATGCAACTGGTTGCATAAAGTAGATCGTTTTGACACTTGCTGCGATTACAAAATATATTACTTTATATGTCAAAATTAGAGAAAATAACAGAATGTAAATTAAATGGATAGATCCCGCATATTATTATAGAGCAGTGTTTCTCAAACCTTTTTGACGACGGAACCTTTTTGAAAAGCGAAATATTTGACGGAGCCCTAAACACATAAAACACATAATATAAAAAATTGAGTAACACTATTATAGAGAATTACTAAATAGTTTTAAGAAAACTATTGAAACCAGTTGTGAAGTTTGAAACGAATAAATTGGCAATGAAATTGATATTTTTGTATTTGATTGTATGTTTCTCTTTTTACTTCCTAAAAAAAGATTCCCCATGAAACAAGAAATAGTAAATAGTTTATAATAATAACCTTTATTTGCTACTTATAACATGTACCAATGACCAAGTCCGATTCTGTTTATTTTTAAATCAACAAATATGGACGTCGATAGAAGCCTTAAAAATTAAATATCTCACCGAAATAAATGTAAGTTTCTTTTATCTCCGTCACATTTAGCAGGTTTATTATAAATAAAGCTTTTTACAACACATCTTGGCATTTTCAACGTTAATTTCCAAAATTTAAGTCACTAAAATACCAAATTAATTCTCGTTGACACATTAAATTTGGATGGATAACGCTCTGACATATGATGTACTCAACTGTGATTGGTGGGTGTGAATAATTTCGAAATGGGATTATGCGCAGTGTCTTATGTTCTATCTAAGGTTTTTATAATCTAAGGACTGATCATAATCTAGTTTCATTACTATCAAATCAGTTTGTGGGTCGCATCCACATACTTTAAATCAAAGTATGTGTTCGTATCTGTATTGAATGTTCATTTTGATATAATAGGCAAAAGCAACGATTTAATTTGTGCGTTGGTACTCGTATGGACATCCGTCCACATTGCATTCGCTAGAATTGCTCTGATATTATCACTAGGATTCGGCTTGTCGGCAAACGCCAGCGAACCTTCGTTGGTACTCGTTAAACCGACTATGCCGCGTTAACGAATCCGCTTTGTTATCGTTTAACGCATAATCAATTTTTGAGACAAACATGCTTCTCGTTGCGGCACTACTTAGTATACGTATTGAGTCGTTTTCTAGATAATGGTACGTCATTTAATAGTTATTTAACGACCTAATTTAGTAATCACCTTTTAATATAAGAGTTTGTTACAATATTTTTCAGCGACCAAATTTCTAATAAAATGAAATATCAAGCTTCAAATTTTACTATTTGATTTCAAAGTGTTATTTTGTTTATAGCGTTGTAAAAAATATCAATTGAGGATAGTTTACAACAATACAGGTATATTTAGTCGTAGATAAATGATTATTAATAAAAATTAGACCATTAATGAGGCCATTAGTGCCTGATTTTTCAAAATTAAATTAATGAGTTAATACACGGTAAACGGAAAAATATATACAGTTGGTTTCACCTAGAATGAGTTTATACAAAAAAAGATAAGCAAATATCATAATAAAAAACAGGCAAGTGGAGGATGTTATCCAGTCCTGATAATTGATTTAGGCAACCAATAATGCATGTGTAACTTTTGTTGTATTTTCTCCAGAAATTTCGAATGCGCATGCGTTGTAGTGCCGCTAGCTGTGCTGTTTTTTATTAGGTTGCCAGGATTGTGTAGCGTTCCGTTGGTGGAAGTTCAGTGGTGTACCGGCTAATGTTGGAATCTGATATCTTGAAATTGCCAATTCGACCGTTGCAGCTATTTATGTGTTTCGGTGGCCTAATTGGTAAAGACAATGAGATCAAGGTTCGACCCCTGGTTTGGGCACAATATTTCTTTCCTTTTCTTCTTAAATTTTTCTTTGGTTTGTTTTCACCTTGGGTTTGTGGGGATGGATTCCTTAGTTTAGTAGGGGACATTGCGGTTTTCTGTTTCACATTTTCAAAATCAAATTGTAAATTTAATTTCTTAGGTATTGATTTAATACAATTTAAAATAAACTAAGGGACCCAACTAAAAATAGACCAAAGAGAAACAAACTGGTATGGTCACCTAGTAAAAATTAAACCAAACAAAAGAGTTAGAAAATAAAAATGAAAATAGGTATATCAAGAAAAAGGGAACAAAAAAGGCCCAGGAGGCAATGGATTGACCAAATTGAAAAGATCGAAACTGATAAGGAAAAAACTTGGATAGAGATAAAGAGACTAGCCAAGAACCGACAAATGTCTGGTCATGTACGTTTCCAACATTTTTTTGAATAAACTTTTATGGAACAGAATTTAAAATAGTTGGAACATTCATCCAGATTTATTACGTAATGATACTGATAATGATACTGATAATGATACTGATAATGATACTGATAATGATACTGATAATGATACTGATAATGATACTGATAATGATACTGATAATGATACTGATAATGATACTGATAATGATAATGATACTGATAATGATACTGATAATGATACTGATAATGATACTGATAATGATACTGATAATGATACTGATAATGATACTGATAATGATACTGATAATGATACTGATAATGATACTGATAATGATACTGATAATGATACTGATAATGATACTGATAATGATACTGATAATGATACTGATAATGATACTGATAATGATACTGATAATGATACTGATAATGATACTGATAATGATACTGATAATGATACTGATAATGATACTGATAATGATACTGATAATGATACTGATAATGATACTGATAATGATACTGATAATGATACTGATAATGATACTGATAATGATACTGATAATGATACTGATAATGATACTGATAATGATACTGATAATGATACTGATAATGATACTGATAATGATACTGATAATGATACTGATAATGATACTGATAATGATACTGATAATGATACTGATAATGATACTGATAATGATACTGATAATGATACTGATAATGATACTGATAATGATACTGATAATGATACTGATAATGATACTGATAATGATACTGATAATGATACTGATAATGATACTGATAATGATACTGATAATGATACTGATAATGATACTGATAATGATACTGATAATGATACTGATAATGATACTGATAATGATACTGATAATGATACTGATAATGATACTGATAATGATACTGATAATGATACTGATAATGATACTGATAATGATACTGATAATGATACTGATAATGATACTGATAATGATACTGATAATGATACTGATAATGATACTGATAATGATACTGATAATGATACTGATAATGATACTGATAATGATACTGATAATGATACTGATAATGATACTGATAATGATACTGATAATGATACTGATAATGATACTGATAATGATACTGATAATGATACTGATAATGATACTGATAATGATACTGATAATGATACTGATAATGATACTGATAATGATACTGATAATGATACTGATAATGATACTGATAATGATACTGATAATGATACTGATAATGATACTGATAATGATACTGATAATGATACTGATAATGATACTGATAATGATACTGATAATGATACTGATAATGATACTGATAATGATACTGATAATGATACTGATAATGATACTGATAATGATACTGATAATGATACTGATAATGATACTGATAATGATACTGATAATGATACTGATAATGATACTGATAATGATACTGATAATGATACTGATAATGATACTGATAATGATACTGATAATGATACTGATAATGATACTGATAATGATACTGATAATGATACTGATAATGATACTGATAATGATACTGATAATGATACTGATAATGATACTGATAATGATACTGATAATGATACTGATAATGATACTGATAATGATACTGATAATGATACTGATAATGATACTGATAATGATACTGATAATGATACTGATAATGATACTGATAATGATACTGATAATGATACTGATAATGATACTGATAATGATACTGATAATGATACTGATAATGATACTGATAATGATACTGATAATGATACTGATAATGATACTGATAATGATACTGATAATGATACTGATAATGATACTGATAATGATACTGATAATGATACTGATAATGATACTGATAATGATACTGATAATGATACTGATAATGATACTGATAATGATACTGATAATGATACTGATAATGATACTGATAATGATACTGATAATGATACTGATAATGATACTGATAATGATACTGATAATGATACTGATAATGATACTGATAATGATACTGATAATGATACTGATAATGATACTGATAATGATACTGATAATGATACTGATAATGATACTGATAATGATACTGATAACTGATACTGATACTGATAATGATACTGATAATGATACTGATAATGATACTGATAATGATACTGATAATGATACTGATAATGATACTGATAATGATACTGATAATGATACTGATAATGATACTGATAATGATACTGATAATGATACTGATAATGATACTGATAATGATACTGATAATGATACTGATAATGATACTGATAATGATACTGATAATGATACTGATAATGATACTGATAATGATACTGATAATGATACTGATAATGATACTGATAATGATACTGATAATGATACTGATAATGATACTGATAATGATACTGATAATGATACTGATAATGATACTGATAATGATACTGATAATGATACTGATAATGATACTGATAATGATACTGATAATGATACTGATAATGATACTGATAATGATACTGATAATGATACTGATAATGATACTGATAATGATACTGATAATGATACTGATAATGATACTGATAATGATACTGATAATGATACTGATAATGATACTGATAATGATACTGATAATGATACTGATAATGATACTGATAATGATACTGATAATGATACTGATAATGATACTGATAATGATACTGATAATGATACTGATAATGATACTGATAATGATACTGATAATGATACTGATAATGATACTGATAATGATACTGATAATGATACTGATAATGATACTGATAATGATACTGATAATGATACTGATAATGATACTGATAATGATACTGATAATGATACTGATAATGATACTGATAATGATACTGATAATGATACTGATAATGATACTGATAATGATACTGATAATGATACTGATAATGATTACTGATACTGATAATGATACTGATAATGATACTGATAATGATACTGATAATGATACTGATAATGATACTGATAATGATACTGATAATGATACTGATAATGATATACTGATAATGATACTGATAATGATACTGATAATGATACTGATAATGATACTGATAATGATACTGATAATGATACTGATAATGATACTGATAATGATACTGATAATGATACTGATAATGATACTGATAATGATACTGATAATGATACTGATAATGATACTGATAATGATACTGATAATGATACTGATAATGATACTGATAATGATACTGATAATGATACTGATAATGATACTGATAATGATACTGATAATGATACTGATAATGATACTGATAATGATACTGATAATGATACTGATAATGATACTGATAATGATACTGATACTGATACTGATAATGATACTGATAATGATACTGATAATGATACTGATAATGATACTGATAATGATACTGATAATGATACTGATAATGAATACTGATAATGATACTGATAATGATACTGATAATGATACTGATAATGATACTGAATAACTGATAATGATACTGATAATGATACTGATAATGATACTGATAATGATACTGATAATGATACTGATAATGATACTGATAATGATACTGATAATGAATGATACTGATAATGATACTGATAATGATACTGATAATGATACTGATAATGATACTGATAATGATACTGATACTGATAATGATACTGATAATGATACTGATAATGATACTGATAATGATACTGATAATGATACTGATAATGATACTGATAATGATACTGATAATGATACTGATAATGATACTGATAATGATACTGATAATGATACTGATAATGATACTGATATTATAATGATACTGATAATGATACTGATAATGATACTGATAATGATACTGATAATGATACTGATAATGATACTGATAATGATACTGATAATGATACTGATAATGATACTGATAATGATACTGATAATGATACTGATAATGATACTGATAATGATACTGATAATGATACTGATAATGATACTGATAATGATACTGATAAGATAATGATACTGATAATGATACTGATAATGATACTGATAATGATACTGATAATGATACTGATAATGATACTGATAATGATACTGATAATGATACTGATAATGATACTGATAATGATACTGATAATGATACTGATAATGATACTGATAATGATACTGATAATGATACTGATAATGATACTGATAATGATACTGATAATGATACTGATAATGATACTGATAATGATACTGATAATGATACTGATAATGATACTGATAATGATACTGATAATGATACTGATAATGATACTGATAATGATACATGATAATGATACTGATAATGATACTGATAATGATACTGATAATGATACTGATAATGATACTGATAATGATACTGATAATGATACTGATAATGATACTGATAATGATACTGATAATGATACTGATAATGATACTGATAATGATACTGATAATGATACTGATAATGATACTGATGATAATGATACTGATAATGATACTGATAATGATACTGATAATGATACTGATAATGATACTGATAATGATACTGATAATGATACTGATAATGATACTGATACTGATAATGATACTGATAATGATACTGATAATGATACTGATAATGATACTGATAATGATACTGATAATGATACTGATACTGATAATGATACTGATAATGATACTGATAATGATACTGATAATGATACTGATAATGATACTGATAATGATACTGATAATGATACTGATAATGATACTGATAATGATACTGATAATGATACTGATAATGATACTGATAATGATACTGATAATGATACTGATAATGATACTGATAATGATACTGATAACTGATACTGATAATGATACTGATAATGATACTGATAATGATACTGATAATGATTACTGATAATGATACTGATAATGATACTGATAATGATACTGATAATGATACTGATAATGATACTGATAATGATACTGATAATGATACTGATAATGATACTGATAATGATACTGATAATGATACTGATAATGATACTGATAATGATACTGATAATGATACTGATAATGATACTGATAATGATACTGATAATGATACTGATAATGATACTGATAATGATACTGATAATGATACTGATAATGATACTGATAATGATACTGATAATGATACTGATAATGATACTGATAATGATACTGATAATGATACTGATAATGATACTGATAATGATACTGATAATGATACTGATAATGATACTGATAATGATACTGATAATGATACTGATAATGATACTGATAATGATACTGATAATGATACTGATAATGATACTGATAATGATACTGATAATGATACTGATAATGATACTGATAATGATACTGATAATGATACTGATAATGATACTGATAATGATACTGATAATGATACTGATAATGATACTGATAATGATACTGATAATGATACTGATAATGATACTGATAATGATACTGATAAATGATACTGATAATGATACTGATAATGATACTGATAATGATACTGATAATGATACTGATAATGATACTGATAATGATACTGATAATGATACTGATAATGATACTGATAATGATACTGATAATGATACTGATAATGATACTGATAATGATACTGATAATGATACTGATAATGATACTGATAATGATACTGATAATGATACTGATAATGATACTGATAATGATACTGATAATGATACTGATAATGATACTGATAATGATACTGATAATGATACTGATAATGATACTGATAATGATACTGATAATGATACTGATAATGATACTGATAATGATACTGATAATGATACTGATAATGATACTGATAATGATACTGATAATGATACTGATAATGATACTGATAATGATACTGATAATGATACTGATAATGATACTGATAATGATACTGATAATGATACTGATAATGATACTGATAATGATACTGATAATGATACTGATAATGATACTGATAATGATACTGATAATGATACTGATAATGATACTGATAATGATACTGATAATGATACTGATAATGATACTGATAATGATACTGATAATGATACTGATAATGATACTGATAATGATACTGATAATGATACTGATAATGATACTGATAATGATACTGATAATGATACTGATAATGATACTGATAATGATACTGATAATGATACTGATAATGATACTGATAATGATACTGATAATGATACTGATAATGATACTGATAATGATACTGATAATGATACTGATAATGATACTGATAATGATACTGATAATGATACTGATAATGATACTGATAATGATACTGATAATGATACTGATAATGATACTGATAATGATACTGATAATGATACTGATAATGATACTGATAATGATACTGATAATGATACTGATAATGATACTGATAATGATACTGATAATGATGCTGATAATGATGCTGATAATGATACTGATAATGATACTGATAATGATACTGATAATGATACTGATAATGATGCTGATAATGATGCTGATAATGATACTGATAATGATACTGATAATGATACTGATAATGATACTGATAATGATACTGATAATGATACTGATAATGATACTGATAATGATACTAATAATGATACTGATAATGATACTGATAATGATACTGATAATGATACTGATAATGATACTGATAATGATACTGATAATGATACTAATATATTTTTGGCTGAATTTGTTTCTATATTTCTCTTTATCTCTCTACATTGCTCTTTTGCATTGCTATTTTGCAATACAATATTAAAATAAATTTTTATCATTTTTATTATTTTCTTTACTGAAATTTGCTCCAAGATCTGTTCAAAAATAGTGAATTAGGTTAATGTCTGATAGGTACAGAGTTTTTGATGCATCCGGAAAAGCTTTTTGGCTGAAAATATTTTAAAATTTGATTGGCTTCTGACTTTGGCTAATTCTGGTTTTTATTTTTCTGTTAGGATTAAATCTAAGAAATTCAGGCCTTTACTGACAGTTTAAACATATTTAAATTGTAATTGAGTATTGCACAACATGCCTATTCCTATTATGCATTTATCGGTAG